CTGGGCCAGAAATAATAGCCAGATCAGTGCTTAATTTGTGCCAGGGGTGAGCCCCAGCACTTCTGGACTTGCCATGTCAGTTATCACAGTAAAAAAATTGCTTGAGACCCTTTCTGCTTTGACATAGTGCCCCTTTCTTTCAGTGAACCCAAATCATTAGACAGGTACTCCATGAGCCGGGGGGGGGAGCGGGGGGGAGAGGAGAAGAGGAGGGGAAGGGGCAGAAATCAACCAACCATTATTTACCTCTTAAAATCCGCCACAAATACCATTCCATCACAGACTGTGATGAACATGGAGGCACAACTACAATTCTGCTACACGAGACAAACATTGCCTTTCCCCTGACAGCAGCAGCAGATATGAGTTAAGAAAAGGGAATGTTTTTGCCTTAGAATTTGACAGCTTGACTAGCTAAAATTCCAAGCATGACAAAAGGAAAAAGGGCAGACTGCAGTCTGCTGCTTGGGGAAAAAGGACTAAAGGTGTCTTCACAGCAGTTAGCTCGAGTTGGAACGTGAGCATTACCCTTACTTGACTCCTGTCCCCCACACACAAATCTCTAGTTTGAGTAAAGTCAGCAGGAGGTAGCTAGCCCGTCAAGACACCCTGACATAAGCTCTCCCCAGCCACTGCTTGTGGCCCTTTGCCAAGGCAGTGGAAGTGTAACAGCCTGTCAAAACTAATGTAAAGTCCTAAGTACTTATTTCAGGAGGTTTCTGAGTTTGCGTCTGATAGTAATGTGTTCAGCTTTAAGACCTGATTAGGCTATACGCCTACTCTATTTAGTTAACTGGGTTCATTGTAGAATGTTCCTGTAGAATTTTATGCTGATGTATTGATTTTATAGGTCGATTCCCTGGGTCTATAATTGGAAGTTCTCTTGTGTAATTACATTCCATACTTGGTTGTCATTCCGTTGTAAGAGGAACATTTGGATCTTTGTAGGTTCTCAGGAGTGGCAGACCCTGTTGCTGGGTTACAGATTTCCCCCATTTTGGGGGGGGGCCTGCACAACATTACACTTTCAGGCTCAAGCAGACCACTTAATCCAGGGGGTGGCCAACCTGTGGCTCCGGAGCCATATGCGGCTTTTCAGAAGTTAATATGTGGCTCCTTGTATAGGCACTGACTCCTGGGCTGGAGCTACAGGCGCCAACTTTCCAATGTGATGGGGGGTGCTCACTGATCAACCCCTGGCTCTGCCACAGATCCTGCCCCCACTCTACCCGTTCCTGCCCCCTTCTCTGAGCCTGCAGTGCCCTCGCTCCTCCCCCTCCATAGCCTCCTATATGCCACGAAACAGCTGATGGGGAGGAAGCGGGAGGTGCTGATCGGCTGGTCTGCCAATGAGTGGGAGGCGCTGGGAGCGGGGGGGGAGAAGGGGTTAATGGGGGACTGCTGACATACTACTGTGGCTCTTTGGCAATGTACATTGGTAAATTCTGGCTCCATCTAAGGCTCAGATTGGCTACCCCTGACTTAATCTAATTCTACAGGAGTCTCAAGATATTCCCTCAATATAGAAACGTGTAACTTCCAAAATCTTTACAAAGCCAACAGTGTTCAGAGAATCAGTTAGGAGGTAGTGCCTCATCCTTCTGTCAGTCCCCAGTGCCAGCAGCTGCAACTGAGATTTTCTGCCTCACTGAGAAAAGTTAGGTGAAAAATCCACACCCCTGACCGATCTAGCTTTGCCAACCCAATCCCCACTGTAGGCACAGCTATGCTGACAGAAGCATGCTTCCATTGACCTCGCTACTGTTGTTCAGGAAGCTGGTGTTCCTACACTGTTGGAAAAACCCCTTTTGCTGGTGCAGGCTGCAGCTACACTATGGGGTTATGCTGGCATACCTATGGCTCTCTAGCTATGCTAGCATAGTCTCTGTGGTGTAGACATACCCTTACATTAGCCTGATCTGGTGCAGGTGTTTCCTAGGGTTTCTCTTAAGACAACTTGAGGCTACTCAGGAACTAGAGTCTAAAGAACAGATTCTCCTGGAGCCAAGTTTGATATTTTGGCTGACAGAACTTCTTAATGGGAAGACAGAATGGAGGTGGGGAAGCCCAAAATTGAGATGCTATCATTGTATTAGGGCAGAGCTTCTCAAACTGTGGGTGGTCTGTGTGCTCCATTCAGATGGTCCACAGATAGTTCCCTCTAAGGTGTGTGCCTGGGCGGCCGCACATGAAAGAATGAAGGGCCACCCACCTAATTAGTGGAGCTGCACAGGCATGGCTCCACTAATTAGGTGCCTGGACCCTAGAGAAGATGCACATGTAAGGTGAGATAGTTGCCTTGTGGAGGGAATAGGTGGAGGGGGCAGTGGGGTGAGAAGAGAGGGTGGGGGGAATTGGGGACGTGCAGGGTTGCGGTGGCCAGAGAATGAGGCGACTTTCCCCAGCTCCAGGGCTGCGGCTGCTGGGGAGCGATGACCCTCCTTCCCAGCCTCAGCTCTGTGGCTGCCGCGGCGGGAGAGACCCCCCCACCCCTTCCCAGCCCCAGCTCAGGGGTTGCCGTGGCAGGGGAGAGAGGGCACATCCATTGCATTAGAAAGGTAAGACTATTGATATTAAAATGTGAGTTGTGTGTTTTTATTTGTAGAATACAAAAATGTTAATTATTAAGGTTTTTTTATATAGTGTTTTTATCCAAAGTGCTTTACAATAGTTAGCTAACGGTACAAACAACATTTGGAAAGATCATTAAGTGGTCCACCAAGACCCTCAGCAATTTTCAAGTGGTCCGCGGGAAAAAAAAGTTTGAGAACCACTGTATTAGGGAGTTAAAGTTACAATTCTTTTAGAAGACCTAATACAGGACAACTCTAATAAATGGGGGGAATTGGGGGGTGGGGGAAAAAAAAAATCACACTTTGGGAAAATGACTCAAGATCTATATGCCAGTATTTCTCCCTTGACACCCAGTGAAGGTTCTTTTGGATTTACTGTCAATTTCTTAAATTCTTTGGCTGCTTTAACTGTTTAATATGAAGCCTGATTTGAGAGAGCATGACTGAATGCAAGATACATGGATGAAAAAAGGTAAAATTTTATCTAAAGACAAAAACATCCACAGCTTTACTGATGTGGCTAAGGCCACCCAGACTCATTTGCCTTCCAATCTTTCTTACTTGGAATGGAAATAAAGCAGAGAAACCCACTCAAATAATGGCTCATAGATAAGGTAGCTTATTTTTATGATTTGGATTACACCAATGCTCTTTTGGCACGTCCTGCATCAAATCCTCCGATTTTTACATTATGAGGAAGTTGCCTCGGAAACTAACATTGTTAGTTCTAGTACTGAATTTTTGATATTTTCTTCTGCTAATTCCCCGCCCCCCACCCCGTTCTTTTTTTGTGACATATGCACCATTATCACCTTGACCATATCTATTTGCTTTGATTTAGCACATGGATTAATGGTAAAATTTGAGAGGGAATAAGTTTAACACATTTTTCTTTTTTCCTCAGTATGTTTAGATCACACAAAACAAACAAGGAGAGCCCAACCACCATTTTAAACTTTAGTGCTTTATCTTTCCCCACCTTTAGATTGTCTGACTTCATGGAAGCTAATTAAAAATGGAGGATAAATGGAAGAATGTTCAGTGGCGACTGCTGTTTTACACAAAATAGAACACATTTAAAAACCATACGTTGCTGAATACAAAGTAATAAAGAGGTGTTGCTAGCTAGCTGTTTTGGCTTACCCCAGTGTCGAATGTAACCCTAGAAGTCAGAGACACAAGTTGGGGAGGTAATATCTTTTATCGGACCAACTTCTGATGGTGAGAGAAACAAGCTTTCGAGCTTACACAGAGCTCTTCAAGCGACCTCAAGAAGAGCTGTGTTTAAGCTCAAAAGCTCGTTCCTCTCCCCAACAGAAGTTGGGGAGGTAATATTTTTTATTGGACCAACTTGTCGCTCTAAATCCTGGGACTGACAGCTATAACACCTCTGCATACAACTTTGAAGTCAATGGCAGATTTACACAGAAGTACCAACCAAAGCAGCGTATTCTCCAAATTGCTACAAATATATGTTCTTAAGTTTCTCTCACTGATGATGGAATCTTAGACAAGTTCTTCTCACACTTGTCTGTATTCTCCCTACCATCATGCTCTCTTGGCTACACCTAGCGAGCCAAAGTCTCCTGTGAGCCCAGATCTCTTGACTGCAAGGGCACAGGATGGATACCCCAAGAACAGAGAATACATTCTCTATTTGAACCTCAGTTAAGTCATGAACAATTCTCTCAACTTGTTCTGAACACTAGTTGCCTTGTGGTTTACCCAGCTTTAGAATTACTGTACTTTTCAACACACACACACACACACACACACCCTTTTGTCTGATCACAGCCACACATTTTAACCACTTGTTATATACTCCGCCTACCTGCATTCATAGCTGGTTGCCAATCCAGTTTTCTTGCCACAGAGAAAGCAGTGCTTTGTAGTTTTCTTTTTTGTTTGCACTGAACCATTCACAGGTGGGAGATGGGTTGCTTCACCTGCTTTCAAAGGTAAAACACGTAATGAACAGATTTTATAGTTACATTTGCTGTTGAACACTTGTATTTCAAGAGATGATATTCAACTAGTCCCACAGCCAGAGAACATACTTTGCCTTTACATAACACCTTTCAAATCGGGCTCCAGTCTGTTTTAAAAGCATCAGTTAAGCCTCACAGCATCTTAGAAAAGTGGAAGTAGGCTATGGGTCCTGACAGACAAGAGAGGTTAAGCAACTGGTCTAAGTTCACATTAATGAAGGGCAGAACCAAGCAGTGAAGCTCCAAGCCTGTCTCCCTGATGCATTGTGTATGTTTTTATTTTGTGACTGGAACAGAATGCCTTGACCACTGGTGACTTTCCAGTGAAATCAGTGGACCATTAGGATGTACCCAGTATATAGCATATGCAGCAGCAAGTAAACTCAGAGATGTTTGCCCTTTAAATATCATAATATAACAGGTGTCTGGATATGTTAAGTTAACATTTTAAAGTTTTGCAGACATATTGCAAGGTAACAGGAAAAGTAGGCATGAAATGACAAGATACTCATTTTCCCCTTCACCAGAGAGATTTGAACACTTTAGTCAGTCACCTTGTCCACGCACACTTACTGTATGATGCCATGTGGCAAGTGATGGTTAGCAATCAGGAGAGGAAAATACCAACCTATACAGAGGATTATAAATGCATTTCTGCTGCATCCATCACCATCGTATCTGGATGCTCACAGCACAAGCCATCACATAAGTACTTTACGTACATCACAGCTTAGTTTCTAATAGCCAGTCCTTTTCAGATGCAACTGGCAGTGGACCAAATTCAGCCCTAAGCTAAGCTGACATAGCTCCCAGTGCGTGAGTGGGAGTTGTGCCTGCTTACACAAGGGCTGAGTTTGTCCCACTGAAGCAATGGCTGCTTGGCATGGAAGACTTATTTCTAGATCTAGCTAGTCCACACTATCAGTTTCATCCTCTAAAACTGTGCTCAATTTACTGGGCTCCATTTTGGGGAGCGGTTCTGTCCCCAGACACTTATCAGCGGGTTTCAGTTAGCCCAGTTTGGGAATGGTGTTGAGAGCAGTATATAATGTTAAGGGTTTATACAACAGGGTGGATTTAAAAATATTTTTCCTACTGTGGACCATACTGATTCATAGATCCCAAGGCCAGAAGGGCCACTGTGATCATCTAGTCTGACCTCCTATATAGCACAGGCCAGAGAACTGCCCCAAAATAACTCAAAAAAGAGAGCGCCTCATGGACAAATGCCCTCCCATCTGCAATGAAATAATATCCTTGCTGCTTGTTCAGCAGCTGGAAATGAGAGAAGCCAACACCATGTGACTATTCAGCCCTCCATGGACCATCAGTTATTTGCAGAGTACAGTTTGGGAACTGCCTTTTTCACTAGTGTCTTGCTCTTTCCAAGGCGATTAACCTGGCTGACAAATTTACTGTAACATCAGCCACTGAAGAGTGAAGTCTGCAGCACAACACACTGCAGGAGACCATTAGCAATTCGTTTCCTAGGAAATCTCACAAGGCTCTGCACAGTGCAACACCAGCCTCTCCGCTTCTCAGAGGTCTGGAACTGTTTGCAAGACATGCTGTTTACTGGCGTAACAGTGGTTTTCAACCTTTTTTTCATTTGCAGACCCCTACAAAATTTCAAATGGAGGTGCGGACCCCTTTGGAAATCTGAGTTTGTCTGCGAACCCCCAGGGCTCTACGGACCACAGGCTGAAAACAACTGGCATACCGTGCACCAGGCTAGAACCTGTGCTGGTGTAAATTGGCATAAATAGCTCTAGTTAAGACAGTGTTGCTAGTTTATAGCTCCTGAGCACCTGGTTCACCATGCTGTGCCACAAATGGCTGAAAAATAAATGCCTGGTAATAACTTTGACACTGACAGTCTCTGATAAGCCTGCTTAGATCTGATCTTCCAAGTGCATTCAATTGCATTTCATCTGATTATTCAAATGCTGCCACTTTGAACCACTTAAAATGCTTCAAAGCAGATGAAGGAGAACACTGTGTAAGAGCCTATTAAATATACCCAAGCAGTTTGCAAACAAGATTGTTTGCAGAGTTAAAAGACAAACATATCAGAAGTCAAGCTACTTGGCAACCAATAATAGCTGGAGATTACAATACAGTACACACAGCTCATATGATGGATGTTCCAAGAGTTACAGAGTCAGCTAGTGTTCTCACAAAGTTATATGACCTACATGTACAAAGTCTACCATGTACCCCTCCCTCCCGCCCCAACTAAAGAAAACCTGATATATTTTATTTGTAAGGCCCTTCCAGTCAAATACATTGTTCTGGCACAGATAACAGCACCAAGAGCGGTGCCATAGAAAAGAACAAATAAGCTTTGACAGTGCAAGCGCTATGGCAAGCATGTATATACATCCATGTAGTAAGTCCAGATGGAGGAGAAACCTTAATATCCCACTTACCCTTATCGGCTGTACACGATCGCAGAGGAGAAGGGAAGAAAACAGTACCAAGTCCTACAAAATACTCACCCCCCCAACTCATTTTTTGGAGTGGACTACATAAGCAATAGCTTCCTTGACCCTGGTGAGTACCATTATAGCGCACACATACCCCCTTTGGACTGGAGATGGGAGCTAATGACTCAGCTGGACATTAATGTAGCTTTGGATTAACCAACAACGCCACCAGCAGTGGAAGGAAGACAGTGTCCACTGCCTCTGCCAATAGGTCATCAACAGTTGTAACTGTGAAAGTCATATGATTCCCTTTTGAGGAACAAGATCTTCTAGTTGATTCATCACAAATATATCTTAAGATCTTAGATCTTATTGCTCATCACTTTTTCCAACGTTATGCTAGATGGAGGAAAAGTCTGTAGGACAACTGTGAACGGTGTGAAGCAAAAGAGGAAAAGAATCAATCATGCTCAACTGATTTCTTAACTCTTAAGTAAACAAGAATCATTGCTATTGTGAGTTCCTTGGACTTGCATGTAGGTTTGGGGATTGCCTGCAGGCTCTGAAAGTTAGAAAAACTAGAGATACTCTATCCAACCCCAACACAGCAGTCCTAACTTCCTAAGATGTCTTGCCTGTACGAGAAACCTATGCAAGGCTTGAAGCCAGTAGAGGCCTTCCCAAGAACCTGCTATTGAAAAATGTTTAAGAGTTTTTAAAAGATGAATTTACTGAGCCAACACAAAAATAACTATTAAAGCTAGTCTGAAAACAAAATGAACACACTGATACTTTCCTTGAATAAGGAATTAAATATAGCCAAGAAGCTTATCTCCAGGACTGTGAGAAAGAATGGTATTCATCACTGAAGGGCTTACTCTGCAACACACTCCCTGAGATGCATAAATGACTCTTTAAGGAAAAAGGTTCACAGAGACAACAGATCTGGTGAGGTCTTATCAGGCTGTGTGCTGGAGCAATCATTGCTTAAAGCAACAGTAGCTAGTAGCAGTATCCTTCTACCTCTGTCCCCAACAAATAGCTAGACTTGTTTCAGACGGCAGAGCTACTTACATACACTGAACTAGACCAGGTGCACACTGTTCTTGTTCTCTAACAATGGAACTACACAAATTGTTCAGAGAAACATCTGTTTACATACAACTGAGTTTTAATCACACACCAATGACCGTTTAACATTCAGATTATCAAAATATACTAATATTCAAAATGGAACCAAAAATAAGAACGTTACTCATGGGAACTTCTCCAGAGATAAATACTCCCCTTAAAGAATATCTAATGCTCTTCGATATCCAAATATAAGACACTTGCAAGTTACAATAATATTCTGAACACTAACATTTTACCACAATACCTACAACTGTACTTGCATGTAAAAAACAGTATACACATGTAAAAGTTTCTGAATCATTTACAAGTACAGTGCATTAAAATTAGTCCTGCTCACTTGAAATTCTTTTGCAAGTGTTAAGAGTATATTAACTCTAAATGAAGTGTGCATCAACTAAGCTATTCTTAAAACTATCTTTAGGCAAACACACATTATATAAATCATTGGCAGTGTTAAGCAGAAAGGCTACAATTTAAATACAAAATACTGCAATAAACGAATCTTAATACAAAAGTGGGATAAAACAAAGCAAACAGGCAATTTTTTTTTTTTTTTAAGAGCAGGTCTACACTACCAACTTACATTGGTTTAACCATATCGCTCAGGGGTGTGAAAAAGCCATACCCCTGAGCAACGTAGTTATACCAACCTAACCCCCAGTGTAGTCAGCGTTATGCTTCTCCCGTCGACATGGCTACCACCTCTCGGGAAGGTGGATTAACTATGCCGACGGGAGAAGCTCTCCTGTCAGCATAGTAGCCTCTTCGCTGAAGCGCTTTAGTGGCCCCAGTGCAGCGTTTTAAGTGTAAACTTGCCCTAAGAAAAGTGAGTATTGGCAAGGAAAACATGGCAGCCAGGCATTAGGAAGCATACAGGAATAAGATGGCAGCAACAGGTAAGAGCTTATTTTATTAAATTAGAAATATAGATCAACATTTTCAAGCTTGGATCCCCGAAGTCAGGCGTCTAAATCCATATCTAGACATTAAACATGTGGCTTGATTTTCAGTAGTTACTGGACATTCACAGCTCCCCACTAACACAAGTAGTGTGATGTTTGCTCCAATGACACACCAAACTCGGGACCTTATCTGTAACCCTCAACTCCCACCCTGCCCTCGCCTGCTCCATGTTTCCTATTGCAAGGTCTTTCAGGACCCAGTCCTGCACACATAAGAGTAACTTCACTATGTGAGTAGTCCCACTGACTTTAATAGGTGCATAATTGTTTGCAGGATCAGCCCCTTTACATGATAAACTCTTCAGTGCAGAGAACATGTGTATTTTTGTGGACGATACAGAACACTTTGGCGCTTAGTGAACAACAAAAATAATGCAGCTAAAACACAGTTTTAGTACCACCTCCATGTTCTTATATAGCACTGATGGAAAGTGCTTTAAAAAGGACGGCATCATCATTACCCCCATTTTACAGATGGGGAAACTGAGGCACATAGAGGTACATGGCTTGCCCAAGGTTATCCAACAGGGCAGTGACAGAGCCAGGAATACTCTCCTGAGTCCCAAATTCTACCCAAGGCCAGAATGAGATCCATGTATGAAAGTACAACTCAAAAAATTCAGGTTTAATACCATTCTGTAAAAATCTAATACAGAGAAAGTGTTTCAAAGCTTTATGCCCTACAAAGGTATAATTCTTGCTCTTTGCATGTTTGATAACTAGGAAGAGACTTAAACAGTCAACTTCAGCTCTTTAAACAAATTCACATTACTTACCTATTCTTTTCCCTGTAGCTGCAACATTTCCATTCATTCCAAGCCCATGGGCAGACTAAAAACAAGAATATTTTAAGTGGAATTACTGACAGATGGTAAACAAATAAAAGATTAAGCAATTTCATATCAGCTTGTCTGAAGCTCATGTTGTATCAGTCAATATACGTATGAAGAGAGCTATGAAATATTTTGTATATGAAGTTCAAGTTAACATGGAACAAACCTTGTTTAAAATGACTGCGATTTAATAGTCTTTCCGTACTTTATACGGCATATTAGAAATGTGGTACAGCATATTAAAAAGTCTGTGGTTAGGCACATACAGTGTCAGTTACAAGGTAGCCTTTAAAATGGCTCACAATCAGGGAATAGCTGGAGGACATTTCTACACATACAGTATTTATCCAGCAGAGTTACAAGTAGTAAAGGAGTTTACATTCTGAACCAAAAGTACTTTAACATTACTGTAAATCTGTAGGAAAATTGCCTCTAGAAACCCATTAGCTAAACATGCAATCAAGGTGCCAAAGAAATCGAAAAAACAGTCTGTTTGAACTATTGATGGCGTGAGATGAGATTTATAGTCCACCAGCTTGAAAAATAGGCATTTTTTGGCAGTCTTTACTAGAGACTATAGTAAAACCCCAATTGTTCAGGAAATACTGGTACTTACTAGGAAGTATTCAGCAGCTTCATCTGGGGGAGAGGCTTTCCTAAAGCTTTCTTCCTGAAAACACTGGAGGTTCGTAGGGAGTGCAATACCAGAAGTCCGAAACCTGCCTGTCCCGCAGGAATTCTGTAAACTTTCCCTGCTTGTGCTTCGGGCCAGCGAAGCTAGAAATTCTAAGTTATTTACAGAACCCACAGGTTCTTTGGATGCCTTGTTTGCCACCTCTGTGATGTCCCTAGCCTCCATTTTAGAAATGATATCGGGTCTTTTGCCAGGCGAGTCTACCTTCACACCACGAAATCTTGTAGTCCTTGGAAAAGAGGAGTCTGCTATATTGCGGACCTCCAAAGATCGGAGCAGATTTGGGGAGGCAGCAGGTCTCAAGTTACCGACCTCAAAGCATTTGGGTTGTGTCTGTGGTTTCAGAGAACTGTGATGTGCCATTTGGGCTGAATACCGAAGAGGTGACAAGAGTGTGTTCTTCTGAGGACTTAGTTCACGAGTGTTGAGAAGTCCAGCCTCCATTGTTGTAGCGCTCAGGATTTTTGTAATGGGTTTGCTATGCTGTTCTACAGCTTTAGACTCGTCATCCCCATCAGACAGTCCAAGCTCTGGGTTTACCTTCCCTATTCCATATAATTCACTATACTGTTCAGCAGTGGTTGCTTCTGCTAACAAAGCAAAAGCATCTGTTTCAGGTAGAAGCTTGTCTTCTGTTGCACACAGTTCTACGTTTGTTAGATGTGGATACAAGACAGGATCGTCCTCATTTGTGGATGTCACATTTTCTAAAGCTTTTTCTGAATTTATAGGCAGCGATGGGACAGGGGGAAGGAAGTTATTTGTAGGTAGTTTTGCATTTTCTAGTTCAACACGAGATATTTTCGGTGGTAGTCGAATGCTATTAACTGACTGAGACCGGGAGGTGCTCTCCCAGTTGTCATCTTCCTTAAGAAAGTCACTAGTAATGGATGGCATTGTTCTACCAGCAGTGGCCAAAGTAGCCAAAGCTGAAAGTGCATTCTGGGAAGACTCCGAGGGATATGAATTCCCAGGAGGAGGTAGGCAGGACTGTCCAATGTGGGGGAGTACTCTTAAAAAACGGTGACGAGCAGCTGCTGCTGAACTGCTAGATGGTCGAGGAGCTATAGGTGGACGAGGTTTCACCTTGACAGTCTTCTTAGGCTATTTCAAAGGGGAAAAAAAGACATTAATTGCATTACAATAGCATCTAGAGAATCCAACTGACACTAGGTCCCCATTGTGCTAGGGGCTGTATGTACACATAGTAAGAGATTGACCCTGCACAGAAGATAAAGGGGACTGACACAGAGACTAAAGTGACATACCTAAGTTCTACAGCAGAGGTGGGAACTGAACCCAGCCTAGTGCCTCAGTCTCTTGTTCATACTTTTTCTAATTAAAAAGGCATCGATACTTTTCAGCAGCTAATCATCTTGCTTACTGATTAAGGAAAGTGGGTGAGGTAATATCTTTTATTGGATCAACTTCTGTTGGTGGAAGGACAAGTTTTCAAGCTACACATTCTGTGTAACTCAAAAGCTTGTCCAATTCACCAACGGAAGTTGGTCCAATAAAAGATATTACCTCACCCACCTTGTGTCTCTCATATCCTGGGACTGACACCACTTGCTTATTGACTGTACTTATGAACACCATAGCATTACTACAAAACAGCAGAATTAAGTATTAAATAGCCTTATGTTAGTGAAGCATTAAAAGGTGAAACAATCCATGATACAGCACTGAATTTTTTGAATGCTGAGGCAGTGGGTCCAGATTAAACTATTATTTGCATAATCAAAGACCACTTGCGCCTCAGCCCACCATGTAACAAAATGAATACCAAAAGATATGCCTTTATGCCTACATTATCCAAGAGCACAACCAGAATGTATTTAATCAGCACTCTAGAAAGACCTGCAATGGGAAGACATGAACCATTTTATTGTGGGGGTACTGAGATCACAACCTCACCTTTTTACTGAGATTCATGTTCTCCATCTTTGCCTTGAGCAGTTTCATTTTATTCATAGTAATCGAGTTCTCAATAATCTGTTGGCCAGAAGGAGATGCCTCTGTTTCTTCGTCGTCATCTGTGTATAAGTTATAAACTGAACCACCACTGAAAAGAGAAAAAAAATAAAGCTTTTGTGTTTTCACACACTATAATCAAGGTACTTATCCAAAAACTATCAATGTAGCGTACACACACACAACTAGAAAGACAAAGCCAGTAGTCCATCCGTTGACAAAGCATTATATGAACTGTATGAAAGGATATATCAAAAGTAATTTTCTTAGGTGAAAACAAGAATTCCTTGATGTTCACACCATGAAATGATAATGATGAGATTAGAATATAGCCAAGCTACTGGGAAATTATTGTACTGTATGCAGTTGTTTTGCACCCACTATATATTTTCCCTTAAGAGTCAACATCCAGTTCCATTAGTGTCTCCTGCTGGCATGGCCAAAGCTGTTAATTGTGTGACTCAGACAACAGGCTGATCATTTTTCCCATTAATTAGACACCGTCATGTATGGGAAGTCCAAATTTCTATCCATCCCAAGGGGTGCTTTCACCATAAATGAAAATGGAAGGGTCACCCACGTGGATTTGACATTCTAGGTCTGTTTTTTAAAATAAAAAACAAATAGGATCAGTTAGGGTTCTAAAGAATCTCATTTGGAAAAAGGAAACACTAATACCGCTAGACCTAACAAGAAAAAATACATCTAACACAGCCTGCCAATCAACGGCACCGATCACTGGAAATAATGTATCACAACACCATCTTCTAAAATACACAGGTTTTAAATCTTATACCTAATTTTTTTCCTCTAGCAAGCATTATTTTATTAATACACCTCCAACATTTAACTGTGAAACACTGGGAACATTAAAAAGGTTATAGGGTTTGATTCATACAAGTGTCTTATCAAGTTTAACAGAAGTATTTTCTCTCCAAGAGAGACATGGAAAGAACTAACAGCCAGGAAGTAGTTATCGCGGTCAAACAGGTGTAATTATAACAAAGCATGCCAAATTTCATATTTGCGCGAGCCACATGTGTCTGAATCATATGATCACAAATTAAAGCTGTCATCTTCCATGGTTTACAGAAGCACCTGGCCTTCCTCCCAAAAGACAGCAGCTAAGGGGTAGCTGGAGCGTCTGTAAGGGTGCCATGGCCAAGCAGGAAACAGCGATTTCCTGAATCACAAGATGCTCTACTGCTGACAAACAGCTGACAATGAACGTTATGTTCTTAAGCATTTCCTTGGCTGGCAAGCTGGAAAATGCTACTGTTCTAAGGGTTATTCTGAACCTTTTCACATCAAGCTCAACTGGAAGGAAAGCTTAATTTGTGTCCTTTCTTCCCTCCTTCACTCCCCCCATGACCCACACAAAAGACAATTCATTTTTTTTATTTTTTTAAAGTTGAATAAAGATTGGGCTGTCTTTAGGAGAAATGTCCATGGCTAGTTTCTCCCTGAAAGTACTGTGGTTAAAACAGAGCAGGAAGAGGAGTATTTAGTTTGGTGCACCTAGCACAACTAGGCCCTAACCTGGTTAGGTGCTCTGCGTGTTCCTCAAACAATAAAAATGAACATTGTTCCTAACAAGTGAGTTTATTTTTACTATTTTGATACACTAATTTGGACCAACAGCCCTAACAAGTTGTCCTAGGAAAACCTATTCAGCATAATGTATTTCTCTGAAAATAAAGCATTTAGCTAAACTCAGGTACTTTCATATTTCAAATCATACATTAGAATACCATGGTCTTAACTGACAGGGAAATTCAGACTGCTAATTTTTAAGAATTAGAACACTTGGCAGATACTAGAAAGTACAGAAAAAGACAAATATGAAAGACTAAGTTCCTTCTTACAATTTCCTACCCTATGATGTCCATAGGCTTAGCCTTAAAATCTGATTTCCAAAAGGAAAGGAAAGCGACAAGAGACTTAGAACCTATCCCAAGTTTCATAGTAGCAGCCGTGTTAGTCTGTATCCGCAAAAAGAACAGGAGTACTTGTGGCACTTTATTAGTCTCTAAGGTGCCACAAGTACTCCTGTTTTTATCCCAAGTTGATATACACCAGACTAGCAAAGGCAGGGTATCTAGAGATCATAGAAGCCAGATTTTTGGGCTCCACCCCTGCCCCAGATTCAATGTCCAGTGCTGCAGGCAGGTTGCAGCAAGCCAACAGATAGTCAGTTGTTGCTGGTTCTATCTCCTTACCTTCTTGTTTCAAAGTTGCACACGATACCAAATGTGCTACTTACTGAAGCCGAGTGATGTGCGTGAAGGGCACAGTGAGAGCTCTCTCTCATATTCCTGGCTTTCTCCTCCTTCCCTCCACTTACTACACATTTTTATCATCTCCTTCTATATAGTATACAGTAGTTTGAGAAAGCACACATTCAGCAGTAGTTGAGCTTTGAGGCAAGAGACATTAAATAATATTCTTATAACAACATGCGGATGGATACATGAAAACATCATGGCTGCCAGCCAAGTGAATATATGTGGCATCAGATATACAACTCCCACCCTGGATTCAAAAAGCCATAGAGCTCCTATCTAGTGAGCTAAATGCCTGAGGTATAAACACTTAAGTTAGGATTTGTTTGCCATCATTACTTTTCAAAGCACCACAAAGTTTTAGGTATCTGCTTCTGGAGTCTGTAGCCTCTAGTAAGTAAAGGTCATTTTCAGCTTAGTAACTCAAGAGATTCAACTTTTAACTGTTGGCTGAATCAATGGCAAAAAAGGAAAAAAAAATCTGAACTCATTTAGAAAAAGATGGTTACCTTTGGTAACTGTTGTTCTTCGAGCTGTGTTGCTCATGTCCATTCCATTGTAGGTGTGTGTGCTTGCCACATGCACCGGTGCCGGAAGTTTTTCCCTCAGTAGTATCTATAGGGGACTAGCTCTGGTGTCCTCTGGAGTGGCATGCGTATGCGCCAGTATAAAGAGCGTTACTGGCTTCCCCCTCCCTCAGTTCCTTCTTGCCGCAACACTGACAGAGGGGAAGGAGGGTGGGTCATGGAATGGACATGAGTAACATCTCAAAGAACAACAGTTACGAAAGGTAACCATCTTTTTAACTTCAAGGGCTTGCTCATGTCCATTCCATTGTAGGTGACTCCCAAGCAGTATCATTGAAGGTGGGTTCAGAGTTCAGGAACGCGTTGATTGCAATACAGCTCTGCCAAATCCAGCATAATCTCTGGCTTGCTGGGTGATGATGTAATGTGTTGTGAACATGTGTACTGAAGACCACATCGGGGCCCTGCAGATGTCCTGGATAGGGATGTGTGCCAGGAAAGCTGCCGAAGACACCTGAGCCCTAGTCGAGCGAGCCTTCACTATCTGTGGAGGCCCAACCTGCGCCATCTCGTAACAAGTACGGATGCAGGCGGTGATCCAATTCAAAATCCTCTGAAGACACCGGAAGGCCCTTCATCCTGTCAGCTATTGCGATAAAGAGCTCGGTCAATCTGCGAAAGGGCTTTGTGCGCTCCAGGTAGAATGCCAGGGTGCGCCTGACATCTAGAGTGTGTAGCCACCTCTCCTCATTGGTCATGTGAGGCTTTGGACAGAACACCAAGAGGAAGATATCCTGGTTGACATGGAAGTATGACACCACTTTTGGCTGAAAGGCTGGATGAGGCCACAGCTGGACCTTGTCCTTGTAGAATATTGTGTATGGGGGCTCCGAAGTGATGGCTTTAATTTCGGAGACATGTCTCACCAAGGTAATAGCTACAAGGAATGCAACCTTCCACTATGAGTGGGAAAGGGAACAAGAAGCCATAGGCTCAAAGGGCGGACAAGTGAGCCTAGAGAGGACCAGGTTGAGGTCCCATTGGGGAACCGGGTCCCAGACCGGTGGAAAGAGTCTTTCAAGGTCCTTCAGGAACCTGACTGACATCTCATGCAAGAACACCGATCTACCCTGGATGCAAGGATGGAAGGCCATTATGGTGCACCTTGATCAAAGAGAAGCGAGGCCCTGATGCTTTAAGTGAAGCAGGTAATCCAGGATGTACTGCAGAGACGACTGGGTTGGGGAGATATTCCACTCCAACGCCCAAGCAGGAGAAACGCTTCCACTTTGCCAGGCAAGTTGCTCCAATGGAGGGCTTTCTGCTCTCCAAGAGAGCCTGCTGTACCTGACTACAGTAGGCTTGTTTCTCTGGATTCAGCCACATAGCATCCAAGCTGTGAGGTGAAGAGGTTCGGTTCGGGTGCAGGAATCTACCACGATCCTGTGAGAGTAGGTCTGGGCGGCTGGGAAGGGGCCATGGGGCTGCTACAACTAGGTGATTGAGCATGCCGAACCAATGCTGGTAAGGCCATGCTGGGGCAAGCATAATGAACTGTGTCTTGTCCCTCTTGATCTTTAGGAGGACTTTGCTGATGAGTGGAATTGGCGGGGAGGTGTACATCAGGTCTCCTGACCATGACAGAAGAAAGGCATCGGATAAGTAAGCCTCTGCCGAGGCCTTGGAGAGAACAAAACTGATGTCACTTTCTATTCTGTCTGGTGGCAAATGGGTCCACTCGGGGAGCTCCCCACTTCTGAAAGAGCATTCTGACAACCTACAAGTGAAGGGACCACTCGTGATGAGAGAAGGACCTGCTGAGGTGATCCACCAGCATGTTCCTGACGCCGGGGAGGCGTGAGACTTCCAAGTGGATTGCATGCCAGATGCAGAAGTCCCACAGATGGAGGGCCTCCTGGCACAGAGCTGACAATCAAGCTCCCCTCTGCCTGTTGACATAGAACATGGAGGCCACATTGTCCATCAACACCTGCACCGCCCGGAAAGTTGGGGATGGAAGACACTGCAAGCCAGGCAGATGGCTCTGAGCTCCCTAATGTTTATATGCAACACAAGCTCCTTTCGAGACCATAACCCTTGAATCTGCAGTGTACCAAGATGCCCAAGGTCGGATGCATCCGAAATTAGGAAGACCATGAGTCGCAGGCTCGCGAACGGTACACCTTCCACCACCTGAATCAGGTTGGACCACCAATGCAGAGAGGTAAGTATCCATGGAGGGATCGTGATGACCTTGTCTAGGTAATGTCTGGCCGGGGAGT